ACACACACGCACATACAACCGTCCTTCGACCGCTGTCAGCGGGCAACTAAACAAACCCGATGCTAAACAACCCCCCACCTTTTACTCGGCATGACTTCGAGAGGAGGAGTGGTGGTATTGTGGTAGGGATTGACTCCTCCCACATTGACGTCGATGTACCCTTTAACAGATTTTATGACGATTTTATCGACGGAGAAGAAACCACTTGCTGTAGTAGAGAGTGGGTAACGAATTGATGTGGTTATAATTACAATAATTATGGATCGCATATCCTACGAACTTTTCTGTATTCAAATTTCATTAGTTTCATTAAAAATATTAAAATTCACAAAAACTTAGAAAGCGGAGACCTCTTGGTTTGAATTATGTTATTGCATTCCTTTGGAACAGAAAATGCACAGCTTTTAGAAGAATAGACTAAACATGTAACTAACAAGATAGCCTAAGTTTTATCGACGTTTTGAGAATTGCTTCAGTCTACTAGCGCAATCTATGCCGAGACTGCGGACGAAGAGTGAAACATATTGTATGGCTAGGATGTATAAGCGCATGGACGGGTATAATGGTAAAGTCAATTCCCATGTTGCTAACGGGTTTTCGTCCGTACTAGGGTTCTAGAGCCCTGCCTTTCAATGGACAGATTTTAACAATGAATTGACTGTGATTTCTCATGTTCTATGATAAATACAGAAATAAATCAGTCGGTAAGGCATTTAAAGATTTGCATACTTGTCCAAACGGTAAATCTATTGTCGGTACATGAATAATACAGATCTTTCATCGTCATAACTGACATCTGATAATTGTGATAAAGTTTTGACATCAATGCTCACAGAAATATTAGAATTAACAGAAAAATAATCAGAGATATTTGGCAAAGATCAAGGGTAAATACATGTTAGGCTGTATTAACAAATGTATCAGTCCACATGATAGATTCATATCAGGAAACTAGAATGCTATAAAGTCATTAAAAGAATTATTATATTTTATTATACTAAATAATCTATATGACGAGTCACCATAAATAATATTTGACGAACCGATGTTTAACTGTCATTGTTTTCACTTTTAAATCAACAAACAGTTTTCCATATATAACACGTAAGAATCAATGTGTATCACGATTGAAATCATTTCCCTCCCAACCGCAGGATATCCAAAACATAAAGAGTTCAGTCATAATGAAACACTCGTGTATTTACCAAGCTGTGCGATGGCCAAACTGCATCTGCAATAAATATTCGCTGCAAATAATTGATTCACCGAGTGAAAATCACGTCAGAGCATTCGGACAATACGAGTCTACTGCCTGGAATACGTTATATCAAATCATTCAGTCATTAACCGTGTTTGTGTACTAGAACCTACTGCAACCACGTGATATTAATATAAATATGTATAGAACCTATGCATCCAATAATGTCTACAAAACAAATCGAACCCTTTCGATTTATGTTTGTCATTCATATTGCACGTACACTCGTTTAAATATATAAAGGGCTTGGCATTGATTCGTACAATGACATGTTTCGATCCAATGCCGCGTTTAAACGATCCACAGAGCCACAAGCAGACTCGACCTCCAAACCGTGAAATTTTCCACTCACCAATCTAACAGAACGACGGAGCCACCAAACGATGGGAAATCTAGGATGGAAACCTGATGATGATCTATTTGAATTTGGGCTGGAATTATTGTTGATCATCTAAATTTTACTGAAAAATAACAGAATCTTGAATCTTAGCTTTATAACCTTCTGAGTAAAAATTTAAGTTTTAAAAAATGGACATACAATTTTTTATACAGATCTCATCTGTATTACTACACGTGTTGTTATTCACCTTGCCATTAACGCCGACGTCGCGGCAAACTCCAGTTTTGGAGCGACGCGTGACGTCCAATAACCTGTAATGAGTCACTTTCTCATCGGGACAAAGAAAACACAGTATTATTATTCAATAGATATACGAGAGAAAATTCTTGGCATGGTGTTTAGATCTTCTCGTGTTTTCGTAAATACAATAAAAATACTGAACCACAATATTCACAGCGTCCGCTATCCATAATATCTCCGTATATACTGGAAGCGTACCCTTCTAGCTGAATGTGCCATTACTAGCGTAGAAGAACGGAGTGCAGTTCACAATAAATCTACGAGATTTACACGGTGTCGATTTATCGACAGGGAACGCGTGCGAGGTGTCCGATAAAGGATCTAGCTTGGTAGATAAATTTTCTTCCTGGACGTAGCAGCGAGCACGTGTTCAGAGTAAAATAGCACAGCTTTTCTCCGTTACAGAACGTAGTACCGATAATGGCCGTCGTACGAATGTCGCAGCACTGTCGCATTCTGACAGGATGACTGATTTTTGCGAACAATTCAAACGACATTCTCGTATTATGATTGTTAAAACGAGAAGCAATTCCTAACGTTTCTTTCGGGAAAATATTAAAAGTATTCTACCTCAGTGCAGCGTCAACGTGCCGTTTGGCAATTGTTTTTCTTCGACAAAAATTTCTGTGTCGCTAATAATATGATACTGTATGAATATCTGTCTACGTGATAGTGAGTACGTCGCGAAGGCATGCATTTTTCTATACGTGACACGAGGAACGTTCGCGCCATACTCTGACCTCGGAATAGATGCGGGACTGTCTGTTCTTTTCCAGAAAAATATTCGACCCCGCTTTTAGCCTCTCGTGGTGTTTCATGTTCGATCATCGAAAACATCGATAATAACCGGCCTCGAATTAATTGTCGAGACGCAACGACCAGATTGAATAGAGATACTTAAAACACGTCAGTAGTAATATTAGATTATACTACGGTCTATTTATACACTATCACGCATTAATAAAAATCCTCTATAGACATTTGAATTCTCATCATTTTATCTAAGGCCTAGCATAGCGTGCCCACAATACCACACTGTACATATCTATGTATACACAATAGTCGTACAGTCTTTCCTAATAAAGACACGCAATTTCTTAGCTTCTAGAAAACGTGTTAAAAGGCTTTTCTCCCCAACCAAGTAAAATGAAATCACGATAACAAGAAATACGAAACACACTGACGTACATACTAATGTTTGATCACGAGTCCATTGGCTGATGAGCCTACCGTCGTTCTCCGGGCAGTAAGCACAGTTGTCAAAAAAGTTTTTAATACATTTCCTGTCTACAAGTATATAGATAGTGATAGATAATACTTAAATATTGAGACACGATAATATCTGTCTAATTACATAAGGTGATTATCACTATTCTTGAATTTTATTATCTCTTTGATCATATCGTGAAATTATGACGGGCGCGCATGCGCACACTGTTCCAGTGGAAGGTTATGGTGCGCATGAAAACGTACATTATCAATGAATAACTCTATTCTCACGTTCTCTCGGTATAGATCGAAGTACAAGCTGCATAAATATAGTCCGTACGATGTAAATGAAATACATGAATGCACTGTCAGTCTGCCGACTGAATAACGGGAGTTGTCTAAGCGTCATAGCTATAACCTGTTGACGTTGCCCCATGAACTGCTTGCATATCGGAAAAGTAAAAAAACGAGAATTTTCATGAGTTTCCTCCAAATATTTTTCATTGTTTAACAAATTTAATACATCGGTGATGCATCGTGATTTAATAATGAGTATTCAATTTTCATAAATACTTAGTGTCTATCATTGATAAAAGGCTCTTTCTTGATAAATCAGCTGTCTTCGTGCTGTCAATATTCTAAAAATTTATATCGCGAAATCTTTTTTGATTGGTTAATATAATTAAATTCGTGGCGTGGATCAATCGGTGTCTACGTGAAAGAAACTCGAATGATTGGGCGCGTGTGTTTATTAACGAGGTAGGTTCAATTGAGACTCGAGATTATCGATCAATTGGATAAAATTGGTTATATTACATTTTGGTTCTAGGGGGGCCCACAGGTTACACCAGCGCAAAACTGGGTCAGCTGGTAGGAATCTTACCAGGGTCAGATATCAAGAACGATGCGGGTTCTTGGTATCGGATCGGCTTTTTTGTCTCTGGTGTACTTCTTATTCCGCGAGGGGGAGGAGGGAGGGGTTCATGGGCGAAGAATTGCTGATTTTCCCATGAAAAAAATTCAAGTAATGTAATTAGAAATTATTTAATGGAAACTTCCGCTCTCTTTCATTAGTTTTCTTTTATGATTAAGCAAAGATAAATTTAGCTTGCTGATTAAAGCAAGCGATAACGGCATTTTCCTTTTCCTAGTGTATTAAGGTATAGATACGGTATACTCCGTATGTAGACAGATTTATAAAAACAACGATGACGACTCGAGTCCAGTGCGTTACATACGGTTTCGCGTGACTAAACAAGCTTTCGAAAAGCGGCACTCCTTCGACGCATGTCTTGCAATAGGAATACGCCGAAAGTACAAGACAGGCTAATTGACAAGGCGAGCCTCTAAAATTTTTCAAGGAAACGCAAGACCCATGACGGAGGTCCAGGTTCAATAAGAGGTGCCCCACGCGTCTTCTCCCAAGAGAGATCGTACGCGCAACGTGCCAAGGTGGGCGGCTGATATAGTATATTTAACTGCAGACTGCGCCAGAATGCTTCCCGTCGAAAATTCAACGTCCGGCCGACCTCGGTTTCAAGATTTTGGCGCACCATGCACCGAGCCAAGTGTCCATGTAAAACGGGAGAAAACAAGGAGAGCGGTAAGGTCTCTGTCGCTCTCGCGAGGTGAGCTTGTAGAATGAAAAGCAATAAAAAGAATTCTTTTTTTAAAAAAGCAGGTACACACGAGAAGGAGAAGCAGAGTACGAGACGAAATAGGAATTCGGAGGCTCGTCGTTGAACCATCCTCGAGAAGAGGTCGGGAGGAGTGCATTCGGACGTTGGTAGTATACTCCTTATGGAGGGGGGCTCCCCACTGGAAGAGGCACGGGTCGGGCAAGTTGCATGACGCTCGGGGCGCGCCGTGACGCCATGACGTATCGACCGCTCGCCACGCAGGCTGACGTCACGATCACGGCCTCAGTCAGACTCCGAGCACGTGAACAGCACGCTGCTGATCACGCGGCGACCAACTGACGGCCCACTCCTGATTGGTCCGGACGGGCGAGCCCCTAGATGCTATTGGCTCATCGACCGCACGCCGCATGATCACTCACACAGCCCACAACAACACATCGTGCACCCCGACGTGAGAAAGCTTCATTACGCTCCGAGCCGCTCAACGAGCAGGTTCTATACTCTGCGCAAGACAAGCTTCTTTCTTGCGTTCGAAGCAATTTGTATTTTTTCAAAGCAGCACAATGGACGTGGCTCCAGTGCCTCTATCGCCACCAGCCTCACCCCAACTCAAGCAAGTGCACGTAAGTACGCAGTTGATAGATAAACGATGGGAAAGAAACGGAAATACTTTGGATATAACGCAAGAGAACGGCGGGCCGTGCGAAATTAAAAGTAGCGCCATTACCGCCTATTGTCCGGTGCCCGCGAAATATAAATTGCAACTGCTGCGCTTAAGTGTGACATTTCCATTGTTGTACTCGACACCAGGATAGATAACGTACGTGAATGACCAGTGTCTCGTTATAACATGAAATTTTTGTTTTCTAGTGGGATTATTTTATTCCATGACCCACATTCAATTCCCGGCACTTTTTTTTCACGTTTAAAAACATTCACCATGTTTCGCTATGTCGAAAGATCACTTAGTCATTCTTGATGTGGGACTTTGAATGATCGTTTGAACGAGTGTTACCGGTAATTTAATTTTCATGCTCTTTGTTCTTCAGGTCGAACCTCTACAATCGTCATTCAGCGTTGCAGCACTGTTGGGTGAGAAACTATTGCAAAAGGAGATTGTTAAGTCGGGTCCAAAGATCCACGTAGATGGTGCCAGCAGGCCCGATTTACCTCCAACACCACAACCATCTGACTCCGAGGAGGATGAGCCACCCCGGAAGAGAAGATGCGTCGAACAATGTGAGCTGGCAAAGGTAAATATATATTTAAATAAATTGTACCCCTCATATTTTCAATTAATTAATTAAATAGTTATCAAAATTATCTAATGACATTATCTAAGTAAATTTTAATTATTTTTTTTTCAGCTCCTACTGGACGGTACACCACCACCAAGTCCCGAGCCACCAAGAGCTTCGGTTATAATGCGTGCCAATCGCGACGGTACCTGCAGTCCTGCAAATATAATTTTTTGCAACGACACGATACCGCGAATCAAGATTCAGCCAGCACCTCCAACGGTCCCGATTCACGACACACAAATTCATCACGACCAGGGAAACATCTTGAGGAGTTTAAAATTCAAGATGAACCTACGCAAGGAAGAGGTCATTATGAACAGCAAGAATACGGACCACGAGAATTGCCAGCCTAAGCTCCAACCATTAGCACCAAAGCCAGCACCAATCACTATGGTGGCAGGATTGTTGGGTTCACCAATCGTACTACCGCGTACACCCTTGTTATTAGTAACGGCACAAAGCACTGCCACCACGACCACTGCACCGGAGCCAGCAGCGCGTAGAAGAGTTTACGAGTGCGAGCATCCTGGATGTGGAAAGAATTACTTCAAGTCTTCTCACCTGAAAGCACACACGAGAACGCACACCGGAGAACGACCATTCCCGTGTCCCTACGAGGATTGCGGAAGGCGATTTTCACGCAGCGATGAACTTTCGCGACACAAAAGAACGCACACTGGAGAGAAGAAGTTCGTGTGTGCCGTGTGTCAACGAAGATTCATGCGCAGCGATCATCTGGCCAAGCACGTTAAACGTCACGCCAGAGATAGATTGCCAGCGAGCAATGGTATACACGGACCTCTTCCACAAGTAGCACCGGCTCCATTGAGAGTCAGCCTGCTGCCGGTACTCGCCCCGAGGGTGCAGCAACAGCAGCGACCCCCGCAACTGCTACCGCCACAATTAGCCGCGTGAATCCTTTCTGTTGGAATCGCGACATAGGCGGATCGGCCACTACGAAAGGATCGTTAAAATATTATTGAAAGATTGAAGAGTCGCTAGCAATTCATACATAGTGGAATTTGAGGGAATCTGTGTAATATCGAGACTGCCAAGTGAATATCAGTTAACCACTTTAATCCGTACCCGGGTGCGTAAAGGGTTGTCGGCTTTAAGGCGCTCAAACATTTAATCTTAAATGAATATTGGTGAACGTATCCTACCCGAATTCGCTGATCTTCTCCTTCCACGTATGAAATTACTCGCGCGACAAAACGGGAGAGTGAGAGAGAGAGAGCAAGAGAGAAACACATAGATATTCGACATTTCCGCGCACTCGTCTTTAGTCGAGCAGAGTGTGGTGTATTTAAGTAGTTCGGAGGATTCTAATCCCCAACTAAACACTTCATGGTAGAAAATCGTAGAACAGTAGAGGATAGAATTTGTCTTAATCCATCTTTCTCACTCTTTTCCTCTCTTTCTCTCTCTGAAATTAAGAAAAAGTACATAGTAAAAAAAGCAGTGGCCATCCGTGAACCAAGTACCTAAGTGTGACTGTGATTTTGTGATGCATAAACGCGTGACCGAGAGAAAGAGTATTTATTTTACATTAATTATTTAAATTGTACATATATATATATATACATATAGCTCATTGCCTCGGGACGCCTATGTCGCACGTATATCGCTATGTTCTATAGATAACAAGTATCGATTTTGAACTTCATCATCGACTCATTGTGAAACGTGCTGTCCGACCTTGTCAAGGTCGAGCCTCCTCCTTTAGCAATGAAGGAAACACATAAGACTTATAAACACGGTAAACAACATTTTATTTTGTACATATATACGAGATGGAGACTAATTAAATAAGACTTGTATACTTTCGTATTTGAGCATTTGTTTCTTTATTGACCTTATACTTTCTCTTTTTTCCTTAGTTTATTTCCATTTTCACGTTCCTAATTGCTTCCGTCTCATTTTACATTTTCGTGAGTTCTGCCTGACGGTACGTGATTATATTTTTCTAGAATCACGCCATTGCCAGATAAGCCTCTTGACTCCTTCAGCAAACAGTAATGGCGATAACCTTCTTTTTTCCCTCGCTTTGAAGATACCTCGTAAATAAACCCGTTTAATGTCTCGTCAGCGGAGCCTCGGTAAATTGCTCTCGTACGTCGTCGGGACGAGTCTTTAGAAGACGTACTTGGAGATCGTCAAACGTGACTATCAGTACAGGATTTCTGATAGTGTAGACAGGAAGGGGCTTCTCTGAGAATCTAGAGGCCAATGCCTAATTAAAAGAATCCCATTTGTAACCGTAACAGAAGAATCAATCATAAAAGAGCAAGCGAATGATTATACAAACATAATAATAACTTTCTCAAAGAAAAGGATTGAAATTGACATAGAAGAAAAAAATTTCATCGCAAACCAAGAACAAGATCACGATAAAGAATCTAATCATAACTTTTGAATTTTGTCAAACTGATCAAAAATTTCGAGGGTTCACAGTTCAAATGTTATTAAACGTTACGTCCGAAGAGACAAAAGTATCGATTTCGTCAATAAAGGTAAAGGAAATTTTTATTGCGTGAAAGAAAGTGATCTTGCACGAGGATTCTCATGACCCAAGAGAGTGACTGTTTAGTCGCTTATAACACGTGTCCATTGGATGCTCGACTTTTCCTCAAATCCGATACACATTATAGAAATTTATAAATATACATAACCAACGACCTGCTCTTCGTCTGTCATATGCGTTTGCGTACCAGCTGTGACGCGAGGAACTCCTCTGCGTCTTCTGACTATAGATAGATCTTTCTAACAAGGATCTCCTACGCACGGACTCTCTCTCTCTCACTCTTTTACGCCTTTGATACATGAATTTATGTAAAAAGGATCGTGGAAAAGTTTCCATCACGCATTGTCGTGCGGCGAACGGGCTGACCATGTTGACATTCCCGGCACGAACGCGATATCATAGTGTTGATCATGATCCACATCAGGCATTAATCACCTGGCTCGATATTTTTTAAAAAACATAATGCTCGACCGTTACGATGACTTTGAGAAGCTCCGGGGGCACGTAAATCTGCCTCGCCGCACGTCCAACCAATGTAAAGCAACAGTGTGTGTTTCTGTTATCATAAAAGACTTTCTTTTCTGTCTGTTTCGTTTTGTACTGTTACACATCTTTGAATACGATATTCGCACGCGAGTAACACGTGAACCCATGTCTCTATCTATTCCGAACGCACGTGAAGACGTACATACGTAATATCGTAAGAAATAATGCGCGAGCCTCGTTCCCGTTGTAACCTCTAAATCGAAAAAGTTAGACGGATAAATTTTTTTTCTTAATTTTTTCTCACTTAATTAACTCCATGTAATTACCCATTTTTTAACCAACTGATAACATATATTGCAGCACTTACCATAGATAACATGCTATCTGATAATAAATAAATCTTTACATTCCCCCCCCCCCTCCTCATCGTCCATCGAATGGGTTAACAAATTTTGGACTATGAGCCAAGCAATAAGTCTGAGAAACGAAAGTGATTGGTATCCAAATTTTGCAACTGATTCTCACGACATATCAATAATATCGGTACTTTGTAGATTAATTTATGAGGTTATTAACCTACATGACCAACGATCGTGTACCTGTATATATTTTTTATATTGTCAAGGCCACGTCTCATTGTTCTTTGCCGAGCGTCGCTGTTATTCAAGCGTCCCGAAACGCTTACGTCGACGTGAATCCAAGAGTCGCCTATTTAGCTGAATCGGTGTTGATGGTTAACTGCGTAAAAGTTATTCAATGACGATAATCATTGTAACCTCATATTCCGTATACAGGAAACGGAAGAGACTAACCCAATCATGACACAAGGTTGATTATCCTTAATTATTTCTTCTCTCGCCTTTTGCAATAATACAAATCCAGAGAATTTATAACGACCAACAGCCTCAGTTAGTTCCGGCTCCTTCCCACTACCTTTAACACTAGATATACCAAGGAGGGTCAAAAATGATTCTTTTGGCAGTTCTTATAACCATAAATCATAAATCATCGGTAATTCTAGTGTTAAGAGACGAACGTCATCATCCGCGAGAAAGGGGTCAACACGTCATCACCCAGCTTTGTGGTAAAACAACATCCAGAACTGACGTAATTGAGATGAATTACATCACGCCGTGGAAGTCCACGGTGTTACTTTACCACGGACGAAAGATGGCATTGCGAACAGTACCTCAGCAATCGCTCCCGAGGGTGCGCTCAAAACGTAAACATGTCAATGACTTACCTACGGTTCAAGACTCCGGGGTTGAGGCCGAATATCATTTTCTAATCGACGAGGATTGGTAAAATGTGACATGATGCCCAAAGTGCCAAAAGCCATACAGGAAGTTTGACTCGAGTGGGAGTTAAACACCCTAACTGTTACCTGTGGTCCCTGCATCGTCTTCCTTCGCCGTGGGACCTCCTTCGGCACTGAACGCTAAATTTGACTATTGTCTGTTCCTTAACCTCTGGCCCGCTCTGGCCTACCGACCAACAGTCGTCCGTACGAAGAGCTTCGCTCCTGTATGTCAATTTGACCTATTGGTGCTATCTCTTAGCCTATAGCGTTTCTTATGGTGGTTCATTCGATTTCATCCCTCGGCGAACTGTCGCGCATTCTCAATTTCTCATTGGCAATGTATTATTGACTTTTAATACTTTCTTATCATATTTTCACTTTCTTTCTGTAAACACGGTAATTTTAAGCTATATCTCCTGGTGGAAATATCGAAGTGCAGCTAGGTACCTAAAGTTCGCAAAACTTTACACGCGCGAGCGGCTACCCTCCGTATTTGTTGTGGATTACGAGCCGAGAAACTAAAGTATCATATCAGATCGCGCATTTTAAAATTTGTCATAGTCCATTTTTATTCATTAATTCTTTTCGGCGTACTCGATAAATTTATTAATTCTCCTTGTATAATTTCGCACTGCTAAATTATGGAACGTAGGCCTCTGTGGTGCTTCCTGTGTGGCCTATTACCTCTTCCGAGGCATCGCTATCTGCCTGTGGTAGGATATTGTTGTAGGATTGTCTAGCGATACGTTCTTAGAATAATACTCATCGTCTATGCCGTTGCTGTACTACCTTAGTGCCTGTGCACTCGCTCGCTTTCTGCAATCGCTTGTTATTTTCGTTCGGACGAATTGCCAAGTGCAATAAATTTGTTGCTTTTAACATCTTTGCTTCGCTACAAAAGCCTGCTCCTCTCCAGTATCTTTAAGTGGTTGAGCTAGGTGGACTTGCTCGACGAGCGACTGGACACGTGGAGGATGTGATTATTACAGATATAAACAGACTCGATAGAGTCTCGTGCCATATACAGCCAACTGGATGCACGGACAGCGGCCAACCAAGACTTTATACTCGAAGCAACTCTAGTATACCTGTGTTTGAAATCAAATATCTTATAAACCACTGCATATAAAAAAAAGTGATTGATTCATTCATTATAGGAAATGAGTATTCTGAATCGATTTCCACCAAAATTAATCAAATTAGTGTACGATATCAAGGCATATTGAGGGGGCGAGCGATTGAGGGGTCTTTTCACATCTATTTATTTTTTTTTTACACGACGAATGGCATATGTGACCATCAAGCTACTGCTCACACCGTGTTTTTAGATAATGTAAAGCTGCCTTCACAACAGTATAAAATTATTAATTAAGCCTTTAACGCTCATGAAAAACAGATCCGACCATTCGCTTTAACGTAATTTCCTGTATTTTATATGACACGATTGGAATTCCAGGGTGCTTAGGGGCTCATCTCCGTAGTTTCTTATATCTAAGTATCGGACATGAAGTTCCAGGTTGTTCCGCTGTGTGTCGCCGTAGTTCCTTGCATGTAGTTTGGCGAGCGAGTGAAGCAAGTGCGCCTAACACAATAATTTTGTAACACCGGGACGTATGAATCTTTCGAAGATTTTCCATAGAAAATTGGCCGCTCGTTTTCATTATGCTGCTTGCGATTTTTTCTGAACTAAACGTACCGGAAAGAGAAACACGAATCGCTCCTATATCTTGGAATCTAAGGTCACTCTGGCCTCAAGATTAAGTATGTGAATGGTCTACGTTCTACTCGGTAGAGGTCTTTCGGAAGTGTATCCATTTTATATCGAAATATGTGATTATGTGTTAAGAAATATTTTTTCCTCGATCTCGACGTATGGTGCGATTTTACTTGATATATTTCAGCTTGACCCTTCCTAGTAGAATTTTTCTTCGCAATAGAAGAATTATGTATAATATCATCTGACCTGACATTTCTAAAAAATAATGAAGGACGAAGGGTAAATCTGAAAAGATACGTGAGTGCAAAGTTCATTTTGCATACAGATATTATGTGCCTAGAATTTCGTTCCATTTGACGTTCACATCAATACAGATTTTATATGCCTGGAATTTCTTTAAGAACTAAACTTCTTAAAGAACTAAAACTTGTGATATGCTCCTCACAAAAACACTTTCGTGTAAAAAACCTCGCCAAGTACGAGGTTGCTGTGAATTCCCAGCCTTAAAAAGATATACCTACATTTATGTCAGGCGTTAAAGTTCCACTAAAAGAAAATATTCAAATCATATTATAATGCCAAGTACATAAGTTACTACGTATCCACGTATTATATGACCTAGCATTAGCTCATCATTTTTATTGTATTTAAAAAAATTTCCTATAACGTCTTCCATACTCTTTTGTACTACTTCTGCTTCCTATATTTAATCAAGATTTAATCATCATTCAATAACCAGTAAAACGTTAGGAGATTCCTTATCAACTACTACTTGTCAGATCCGTACCCGAAATCAGTACTGT